GTAATATCTTTGACTGGTACTGCTTGCGGTCATTGGGTGAGACGGTTCACACACGTCACGAGACACGATCATTCAACTAATTATATTAAATGTCCTACTAAATCAAGCTGGGCGTGGTTGAAAAGGGTGTCAGGGGTTGTGAAAGAGCGTGAGCGATATTTCCCACATCTGAACACTTAAGATTTTCGTCAGCTTACACAAGAATTTGTCCACTTCATTAAATCTTTGTTCATACCAGGCCATTAAAGTCGTTCTCCCATTGTTAGAACATTGACCGTATTAGATGTTTAACTTCGAATCCCGCGGGGGGCGGGTTCATGGATGCGCACTGCTGAGGAGTCCCATACTAGGACAAAACGGCCGTCCAGTGCTTCCAGGTTTTCACTTGTGGTCTAGCTTCAACTGACTCATGATTTCAACCTGTGAAATTTACTAAAATCTCCACAAAACTCATTCTGATAATAAACTATTTGTCAAAATTTGTTTTTGTTGCAAAAAATTCACCTCCATTGGACTAATTAATCATATTATAAGCAGCATTGTCATGACAATCAAGTCTCACTAACAGTTTCTTGAATTTCATTTGCTGAAATTATTTCAGTTTAAAAAAATATGATTTGCTGTTGCATACACCCAATCAAGTAGAAGTATAACTTCATTTCCTTAGATAAACACTTAGTTCTTACTCTCTGACTGACATTTGTGATTCAAAGTGTATCTATAAAATAGTCTGTATGGCATCTAGAGAATTATCGACTGTTGAGATTGTGAATATTGAACAATCAAATGAAAGGAATCGTGAGCCACGTTGGGAACCAGATGAGGAAGGTATTGGTGCAGGAGGTGTCATACTGTTCATTCTCATAACTATCCTATTCATTTGTACATTTCCAATAACAATGTTTTTTGCAATTCGTACAGTCAAAACATACGAACGAGCTATTATTTTACGTTTTGGTCGTTTGAAACGATCTGGTGGAAAATATGTTTTAGGTGCTGGATTACAATTTGTCATGCCATGCGCAGATCAAATGATTCGCATAGATTTGCGTACAAAGACTGTGAACATACCACCACAAGAGATATTGACAAGTGATGCAGTTACTGTCGGTGTAGATGCTGTTGTATTCATGCGTGTGATTGAACCAGCTGCCGCTTTATTAAGAGTTGAAAATGCAGCCAAATCAGCTGAACTACTGGCAGTTACGGCGTTGCGTTCAGTACTGGGAACATATGAATTATCTCAATTATTGACAAATCGTGACCAGATTGATTCCAAGCTGGCCATTTTACTGGACCAGGCTACAGGTGAATGGGGAATTAAGGTAAAAAAAAGCCAAGTCATTGCTTTTTTATTTATTGTTTGGTTTATTAATATTTGAAATTTAATACCAATCCGAATTATCTTATCAAACGAGTTAACACGAATGACTTTAGTTTCCTCACTGTTGCTAAATAGTCTTCAAATAGAATAACTGTTTCCTTTTAATTCTACAGTTATTGTTCATTCTTCACCTGGTCAAAGTTATCAGGAGAACCAGCTGTACAAAATTCTTCAAAAAACTTAAAAGCATAATGAGTCTCATTAAATAATAAAGGAAATGAGTTTTCTACTTGTTTAAATTAAATTCTTGCTATTGTTTGGATTATCTACTATTTGTTCACTTTCAGATTAACCGGACTTTTAAAATGTAAACAGAAATAGGTCCACAACTGTCTTATTACCATATCAGATCGTTTTAAGATGTGTTCTCTGATCTGGCTGATTGATCTCAATTTCAGATTGCCATAGTAACGTTCGTTTTATTGTTGAATAGTGCGTTATTTGTACCATGATTCTGGTAATAACGTGAATGAGCTATCGACTTTTTATACTGATATTATTAATCCTAGACAGTTTCGTGCCATAAGTGTATGGGTAAGAAACTTATCACGCTGAAATTTGGTAGCGACTCTTGACCAAATTTATCCGTGTTCAATCTAGTGATCAAAGAAGTAAAAGAATTAAATTATTAAATATGAAAACAAATTGAAATATAAGATGACTTTTGCTGACAGGATTAAGCACTTGTATTCACACATACGTTCGAATCTGGTAGTCTGTTTATTCAACTGACAAGATAAAACATCATTTCATTTTATTTCTGGAGGAGCATATATATATATATATATATATATATATATATATATATATATATAACAGTCAACACACGACCTATTACGAATTGTGATTCCTTCAAATCATTCCCATCCATCTAACTTCAGAAATGTAGGGTCATTTAGACTGGAGAAAACCTGGAAAATATATCAATCAATAGAATTTATTCCAAGTTGAAGGGCTAGACAAGCATGGCACAAGTTATTGCCAAATGATCTGTTAGTGTTAAATAATGATTATAAAATTTTGATAGCTAATGATTCAGTGTAAAATGTAACATGAATTTCAATGCCATAGATTTTAACTCTTCACTTAACATCATGTGTCGTTTGCTTATTTGTTACTGTCCGTTAATATTTTTAATAACTGTAGGTGGAACGAGTTGAAATTAAAGACGTTTCATTGCCTCAAGAAATGCAACGAGCCATGGCGGCAGAAGCACAAGCTGTTAGAGCTTCTAAAGCTAAAGTGATAGCAGCACAAGGTGAATTAGAAGCATCGTCGACATTAAGAAAAGCTGCTGAGGAAATGGCTAGATCACCAACTGCCTTACAATTACGTTATTTACAAACATTGGCCACGATCGCAACAGAACAAAATTCAACAATTGTATTTCCGTTACCCATAGAACTACTTCAAAGTTTCTTATCAAAGAAACAATCGTAATTGATGCTCTATTATTTTTCGACTGTGTGTACCTATGACCGTATGTAGATCTCCCAATCCATATCTATTGTACCTACTTTCAAGACAAAAATCAAGCGAGCAAATTAACACTGATATCTTGCTGTGAAGACTGAACGTTTTTAAATAATTAATCACTGAGAAAAATTTGTGAGCAAATATTATTACTGTATTTTCTTCAAAATCTGAAATATTCGCATAATTATTATGACTTTTATACTGTGGTACTGTACATTTCTACAGTATTTGCATCAGGGATTAACAACAACGTGAAAATCACTAAGAAACGAAGACGCACTAGTTAGCTGGTTTTTCTAGCTCTAAAACTTCTCAGATAGTAACCACTGAAGCCTAAGATAAATACCACTAAGTCAGGCTAGATGCACTCCAGCATGAAGCCAAGTGCACGCTTCACTATATATTTATATATACACCAATTACTCTCTGTTTTCGTTCTATTCTCTTCGATCTTCTAAACCTTCTACCCACAGACGTTTCACGTTCGAGTGATGATTCATACTACTTATATCTGATTACATCTGTGGGACACACCACATTATGTTTTTCGCAAATACAATTTTTGTTCATGTATGCAGTTATTGTTTGTACTAATTTACCTTATTCAAAAGTACATCTACCATATCATCTGGTCATTATTATGCAGAAAATATTTTTACTTTCAATTGGTCGAATCGAATATCAACATTTTGGGATGTTGATAAGTAAAGCGAGAGTTTTTCAACTTTAGATTCTTATTTTTACGTGGTATAAATAACATTATTGGATCGTTTGTTCTTTTGTCGGATCAGTCAACGGATATCATGGATTTCTTTTTTTGATTTTGATTTAATTCGCTTAAAAATCTATATCGAGAGTCTTTAGGTATCAATGCCAATAATTTCATATTTTGGGTGAAATAGAAATTCTTTACTATCAGATGTTAGGTGTTTGGTCCTCTCTTATTACTACTACTTAATGATATTGACAGGAAACTTCTCAAGTACCAATTTTTATTTGCTTTCTTTTCCTGGTGCTCAGTATGATCATTCGGTTGTTATTACATCAATTTCGCCAAGAATAAGCTATGGAAGCAATGTTCCAAGGAAGCAATTGGTATATTTGTAATGTGCATTTATTACTTTACATTGTTACCTAACTGTAGGTTTCTATTCATATTTTTAAGAAACCCACTAATGACATTGAGTGATGATAATTTTAAATCATAAATTTTTTGATAATCTGTAAGGGTTTTTACACAATCTAACTACTACTGAACATATATAACTCAGCAACCACATCCTCCTTTGTATGACTGGTTGTGACCCACGCATTTCTTGTCTGAGGAATGATGATAAAATTTGGCTGTTAAAACTGATTTATGTGGATTACAGTTTGAACTTGTTACCTGATCGTTAAGATTTATTTCGTTTAATTAGTAAGCAACCAGTCAACCGTATATAAACATCTATAGAAGTATGTAGCATACCTTCAACGATAGTATCCAGCTACATTTAATGCTTTTTATTTTCATGAAATCAGAATGGGTTAGTGTACCTATTAGGTACTATATTTACACATTTCATCATTACCAAAGTATCTTTGATCTTAAAAGTCCTTGCGGGCATCCGTGAAATAGAAGAATTCTACCATACACAGTATCCAGTGAACAAAATGTCTGTCGAAAAGTGTGCAGTTAAAACCACTAGACAGTCGCCTACATGAAACTGATCTCGATAATAATGCAATCTTCTTGATTCGTTACAGAAAAGTGAACTGCTTGTTACTTTACTGTTCCATTGGGAAGCTACAAATTCTAAACTACCTCAGTTCAATGACAATTGAACGCTCGGAACCTGGACAATACAACAAGAAAATGAATTTGTTGGCTTAGCAACTGTTTCTAATGTCAAGAATTATAGATTAACGATTTTTTTCAATATTTACTAACCAATCCAGTAAGAACACGTTTAATTAAACGTAACGTTTAAATTTCAAATGAAGGTACCCGTATTATTATTAAAGTATTTAAAAGGTAGAGAAATAAATTTGGCACAAAATAACCAATTACTGAGCTTAAACTTCACATATTACATTAATTAAAATTGTTTTTTGCCATTGTTGTCAACATATTATCACTGCCCAAAACAAAAAGTTCAAAATGTTATCCCTAAACTACCTAATTAGTATACTTCAAATAGTCTCTTGTTTAAGTGATTTTGAAAATATCAATGTGAAATTCGATAACTATTTACGTCCAGATGAACCTGATCTTCATATGTTAGATGACTCTAATTATCAAGGTCATGAACATTATGATGATTTTGGACAACATTACAGTGAATATGACCACGATCTAGTTACTGGTTCACATGAATATTCACAAAAATTTAAAGAATTAGATCCAGAAGAAGCAAAATTACAATTAGGAAAATTATTCCATAAAATCGATATTGACAATGATTTAAAAATTGATAAAGAGGAGCTGAAAGGTTGGATTATTCAGTCGTTTATGTGAGTTGGTTAAACCTTTATCGACAAAATATTTATTTAATGTTTGAATTCATGAGTCAATTGAAGCTAGACCACCACAGAAAACCTGGAAGCACTGGACGGTCGTTTCGTCCTAGTACGGGACCCCTAAGCAGTGCGTATCCACGATCCCGCCTCGTGAGGTTCGAGCCCAGGACCTATCAATTTTGTGCGCGAGTGCTTACCCTCTATACTACTGAGCCGGCATACAACGGAATCGTGAACGCTCACTCCTGAGGAGTCCCATACTAGGACGAAACGACCGTCCAGTGCTTCCAGGTTTTTCATGGTGGTCTAGCTTCAATCGACTCATGAATTCAACTGTTAAATTACTATAATATCCACAAAACTTCTCTCTGTTTAAAAATATTTATTGTCGGTCGTAAAATACATAAAACATATATGTACACTATTAAGGAGTACCAAACTCTGACAAAAAGTATTTTCACATCAAAACAAATATCACAAACAGACTAACTAAACAATAATCACATGCTCATCGTCGAAAAGCGTGAAGATTGACTCTTTAAGTCGTAGTGTGAATTCATGACTAATGGAGTTCAAATGAGTCAACAAGTAGTGCAGTTAATCACCCATAAGTTTGAATGACATTTGAGTTATATTTCAAACTGACTGATGTCGAAAATGTGAACCTTTTGACTTTAATATAGTAATATAAATGTGGTACACTCACCATAACAGCTGAAGGTTCTGTGTTTAATCTGGTAACAGATAGTATTTGAAAAGTGATTAATAGTTCCAAACTAAGACAAAACGGCTTTCAGTGGTTCCAGGTGCTCCATAGGGCAGCAGGTGTTATCCTATGACAAGAACTATTTTAAATTAAATTAAGCTCCTAACACCATACAACTAGAATTATTTTCTAAGTCGTAGAATACTCATAACCTGCAGTCAACTGAAAACATTTTCAGCTTCAATATGATAATAAAGTCTTCAAATTATACTATCATTAGTCAAGAGTAAACAGACTTAGCCATTTTGATTTAATAATAGTAGACTAAGGCTGTTCAGTAAAATTCATTGGTAAAAAGTAATCAATTAGTCAAGTGTAAAACGATTTTGATTTAATTCTAATCTATGAAAAAAATTAATGGGGATCGAGTAACCAAATCATTATACAATAAATAGAAGCTACCTTGGAGTTAGATAATTTTATTTTTGTATGTACTCTTGTCTTAGGATTTTCTACTGACTGTCGAATAACGAGTTTTTCATCAACGGCAACTAAATTATCAGATCTAACTTAGCTAAAGAATATATCTGATTTAGACCACTCAGTCTCTATATACGTTGATTAAAATGTCTTCCATAAATTCTATGTAAAACTGTTCTCGACGAAGGATCATACAAAACACTCACATTATTTTATGAAAATAGGTCTAGGAAGCATGTAAATTCGAGTAAAATGAAACTCTATTCATATCAGAGAGGTTTTAAAACTTTTTTCCATCAACTTTCTTGACCCAATGAGTTCTTAAACTGGGGAACATAAGTGACAGAGATTTTTTTCTTTTAAAACGTTTGACTGAAGTTGGCAAGATAAAATTATCAGCATTTATTTAGACAGTATTGCTTGTATTTGGATTATTTCCAATATTTATTAAGTATCATTTGGAAAACCTTCAAGATCGGGAGACCAGTTTGTGATAAGCGTGTCCTCCAGTGAATACAAAATGTCTTGAAACGTATCAGAATCAATAGTATTCAGGTATTAACAAGTGATTGGTTTAAGGATGGGTATTTTTAATGCTGTACCGAGAGAATATAACTCTTAGAGTTGACCACATGTATAGTAATACAAATTGTCACCAATAATATAAGGTTAGGTTCAATCTATATTGGGAATATCAGTTTGAGACGGATGATCAAAAAATACAAACTTCAAAGGTGATCAAAGTAATAGATATCTATTAGATTGAAAACCGACGAAAACCTCGAAATATATCACAGCTGTTTCTTCCACCATCGTGGCCTCATAAAACATAAGTTCCAAAGCTCACTGGTCACATAACAAGACCGAACGACTGAGTTACAATTTAATGGTCCACAATTTTACCTTCACCTGGCTCACTATATGGCATAATTGTTATTTGATATCATCAGTGATTGTATATCACACAAGAATGACTACACAGGTTACTCAGTCCCACTAAAACTTAGAAAAATGTATTTTGAATTCATTCATTATAAAAGTATATAATTATCACTAACCGACTGGTAACATAGGAAGATGACCATGTTGTATCACTGTGTAATGTATCGCAAAATTATGTTATCTGTCTCTGTATTTCACTCAACCGAGTGTCGTTTTCATATCTAACAATGCATGCACACAGGATTGCAGCATGAACACTATTCAGTCTTACAAATACTGAAGCGTCAAAGAAAACTATGATAATCACATCGCTCAAACAGACCCTAGTTAAGTATTATTAATATCTTTTCCCAATACTTGTGCTAAGTTTATTAAAATTAAATTTAAAAAGAATTAATTTGTATCATCTTACTGAAACAAGTCAATTTGTGGTGTATGAGGAACAATTCAGGCAACGAGTTTCGGTTTGCACTATCAAGTATTTTTAAGATGTTTTCCAGGTTATTTTGATAATGTTGCATTCTGAGAGCTGAATGGTTTAATTAAGAAGCTTTCGTTGCCATTCTGTCCAGAATCATCCATTCCTACTGCATGCGCAAATCTTATTCTTAATAATTATCCAAGAAATACCAAGGCAAGCTGTTTTAATAAGTTCGTTTGTGATTAATTGTCCCCGTAGGTTGAGTCATCTTTATGTGCCTTGAAATTGTTTATCTCCAACCATCTGATTGGTGTGTCATTTCCTCAAGGATTAATGAACTGACTCTATACCTATATGTTCACTAATCACAGATTAATCTGAATGGGATACTTCTAGCGATTCTTTGACACCACTTGGATTTCGTTAGTCCGGAATTTTCACATTTTCTCTATCAAATTTGTGGCTGTAGACGTTTACGTGTATTTTGTATAAGTGATAATATATATGTATATTCATATAACATACGACATTCAGATGTTATCATTGTTACAATACTATTCATCTATTGGGTTCCAATCTGATAGTCTATATTTTTAACTTATATAAGTTTACAATGCACTATGGCCATCATTCTATGCAATCACTGGGCTAAATGTGAAATTGGCTTCAAATTAATATTTCGAGATATTCATGCCAAGGTTACGGAGATTATCGATAGTTTTGTAGCGGTTATATTAATCTAAACTGTACAACTCACTTATGATATACCTAATAATATTTTTTAAATTGACTAGAGATTTGAAATTTGAACCAAAATCTATGAGAAGTTGTAATTTTTTCAAGTTACCTCCCCGCTATGTTCGGGGGATTGAGTTATCGCCTTTGACTATAGGACAGTGAAAGTCAACAACACAACAACCGGACAATTCAAGGTAATCCTCTGAGTCCCAGCCATGCTAATTAGATGAAAAAGATCAGATTAAGACAGGAGAATATATAGTTCCACAAGAAGTCCGGAAGAACGAACAACAAGCACACAACACATGTATACTTATAAAATACAAAAATGTCTCTGAAAAACGCGATAAAATAGCGTACGTAAAAAAGAACCAGTAACTTTTAAGGTGAAAATGAGAAATTCATATTTTTATAATTAATTTGCAAAAATGAAAAGTTAACCTAGTGATTTCTAGGAATCTAGTATCCCCACACTCACAAGTTATTCCTGAACTGTGTCCGCCAACTTAATTTCAGTTAGTGAGAGAACTGTTTTTCATTTGTTTGGTGATCAATCCTTCGTTTGTCTATCAACATATTCATTTCAATGCGTAGTAATTACACATATATATAACTGAAATGTCACATATTGAAACCAAATACTTCTGGTAAAATGAAAATCAATATTTTAATTTTTTGAATTTTGTCAATACAATTTCTTTTGGTTCGGACCTAAAGCCCATATTCCTCAATGGGATAGATACTATAATGGGAGAAATAAACTGCAGTTATTAGTGGCAACGCTCCTGATTCGGGCATCTGACTATGAGGTTAACACTTTTGGGGAGTAGCACTTTCCTCAAGATTGAAGATACCCCTGGTTAGTAAGACCTGACTGTCATGAAACCTTTGTCAAAAAGAACTATCCATTAACTGACTTCTAAAATCTAACGTATATCAGTTTGATCTGCTCTCATATATCAAAGATATAATTTTGACATCATTTTAGAGTTCATAAAAATCATATAAATCCTTAGTCTCTTAATGATGAATTTGTAAACTGTTTTGTTTACCAATTATGGAATACATTGAAATGCGAAAGATCAATGATAATTTGGGTAGGTTATTCTAAACTGATTATCGTTTTAGCATTGTAGTAGTTTTCGTCGAATAGTATTTATATCTTACTCTTCTTTAGATCAAACTATACGCATTCTTTCAAGTTAAGCTATTTCCATAGATTACGATTATTCACTAGAACTTCGATGAATTCATCTAGAAGAAAGTTATCTAAGATTTATGTATTTTATCGATAAAGTCAGTAATAAGTTGATATGTCAGTCGGTTCTGTAGTTGTTTATCCATTAAGGTTTATAAGTTATGGTATGTAACGATATTATCATTTATTTCTTTGATGAATTGAAACAAAAATCATTCTTATTTTTTCTATTTTCTCTGGTTCGACGGTTTTAAGGAAGGAAAATTTATCAAAAGTGATATAAGGAACAAAGATAACCATTATTTGAAGAATAATTTGTCTTTAATTAAGTGTAAAAGCATAAATATATTTCGTAGTTCACATCATGATCTGACTATTGCTTTACAATTGTGGAAAACCAAGAAGCATTAAACAACTAACTCATCCTCGAAGAGGACTCTGTGGCAGCTTTGATTTATGGATTTATTTTTATATTGACTGATAAAAACATCAATAAATAAAATGGGAAAATAATCTAGATTTTACTAGTTCTTTTTAAGGCTTTCTTTACCTATCATATTCATTCTGTTATCTTTTTATATGTATTTATCAGTTCCCTTGATCTTGAAGCGTCCAAACCACGTTTTAAAGAATATGATGCCAATGGTGATGGTCAAGTTGCATGGTCTGAATATACAAATAAAATTTATGGTTACACAGCTCAAGAGTTAGAAGATTTTCGTAAAGATAGTAAGAATGATACAAAATTATTTATCCAGGTAAAATGTTTACTTTGTTTGTACATCTTGTACGTTGCTAAGTTAAGGTTATTGTAAATAAAATTATTTGTAAATTTGTATTTCTAATATATAGATAATACTTGTTAAACCTCTTTTTAAACAATACAATTTAAGGTGGTTAATTTTAATGGAATAATTTATGAAAATAAGTAGCCCAATTGCTTTTATTTGTTCTCTTGTAATGGCATCATGACCTGACGGATATAGATGTTCTGAGAAACAGAAGTATTTTACTAATGATAATTAAATAATAACCCCTGAATATAATAAATGAAAAACTATATGTACCTTATAAATAGCATTTAATTTTGTATATTATATAAATAGATAATAAAAAAAATGACTTCTTGTTGTTGTTACGAAATCTATTACGATTGTCCAAAATACTAACAGATAACAATTCTAAACATGTAGCTAATTTTATGTACTAAAACGTTTTGCAAATAACTTTGTATAAATTAAAGAAAGTATTTGTCATGAACTGATATGAGCTAGGTATAATTGTGGGAACCTGGACGTACTACACAGATGTTCTACTGCATCACAGCGAGCACAATACATTTGAATTGAAAATGTTTGCTCTAATGGTTTGCAATACCTACTTCAATCAACTCTATATAATAGGACCCTTATCCAATGCTACTATTAAGTGATTCACTCACTCTTGAAATCGTTAACTTCATAGCTTACTGAAATAGCTCATTGGAAATTAGGGAAACCGATCGTGAACCACTCACTTACGCCTTTTACCCCTAATGGAGGATCGTAAACTGTCCAACAGTATTCTCCATCCAACTCTGTCCTGGGCAATCCTTTCTAGTTGCTGCGATCATGAACCAAGTCACTTGTAATTTTGATCATTATGAAGAGGCTGGGGAGTACTAAATTAAGACTAGTAGTTTTTGGTTATCTTCAGACTTTAATATCTTCATTCATTCGTTTTTCAAGTGGCTGTTTCTAGGGTCATTCTTATGATTTGAACTTTTAATTTTAATACAGAGGGAAGTTTTATGGTTTGATAACACCTAATACCAACAAACATGGTAGAGGGTACGTCTGAATTCAGTAGCATTGAATTAAAAGAAAGCCTATCTGAAAAGCTTCAGATTTGATTAATGTGACCAGCAAATGGTTACTTTTCCTTGTATCTCATAACGTGTAAAACCACGTCATGTTGGTTTTTTCTGGTTTTGTGTAATAAATCTTCAGTCCACTTTTTTTAGTCTATTGAAGTATTCATAAGATTATAGTCAAATAACTATATCACAAAGTTTAGCGAGGAAGCATAAACAATGAACAAACATGATGATGTTGTGGGAAGATTATAATACCGATTTACATAAATGTAAACGGTGATAATAATAATAATAATTTGTGTAACTTCTACGAAATGTGTGTAAATCAAAAGGCATGTACAACTAATAAACTAGCACTGGATTATAGTGTGAATGGAGTAAGGTAATTTAAAAAAATTTCACAAGAAATAAGTGTGCTAGAGGGACTAAATGAAATGAAGTTAGATCAAAAACAATACTGAATAAAACCATAGAGGTATGAGAAGTAATTAAAGGGAGGGAAATATTTTCAAACGCAAAATCAGTTAAATGAGATGAAAATACTAACAATAGCAGTAGATAAAGACCACGATAAAAACAAGGACAAGACATACTTCTTTTGCACACAAAGTTCAGGCTTCATTTGGCGGACAAAAAGGGCTCTCGTTGTTTTAAGGAGTTGGATAAGAACGAATTATAATTCATTTTTGTATTGTTTGTTTAAATCTTTCCATTGATGTTTAGGACTGTAACTCATCAGTCTCTTATAGAAATATGTGCATCCTATGCGGATTGTCCCAATACCACCTTGAATCACAAGCTTTATAAGCATTGATAGGCTGTTTTATCCTAATAAGGAACTTCTGTACAATCACCCCAGGTTTCATTTTGTATGAATCTTGTCACTTGTGATTCATTTATTAGTCAAAGGAAAGACTGGTCATCCAAACGATCTGTCTAAAGAAAACCTAGATGGAAACGAGAGTACTTTAGCACTTATAGTTTTTGTTTAGTCCCATACGAACGTAGTTTGATAAAGAGGCTATTCGATAAGGTTGAGTGTATCTGTACAACTGAAAATGTTGAAACTGCTACACGAAACATTGGCACCAAATGAATGTGCATTAAAATTCGTAAGTCGATGGAAAACTTGCGGTATTTTAAGATCTAATATGTCTCTAGCACTTGAAAAGTCTATTTAACTCACTCTACCATTTAGAGTTCAGTCATTTAGTCTTGTGTTGAAATGAAGGCTTAAATGGGCTCTCAATAGAGCATTCTATACAGCTATTGTCATTATTATTATTGGAAGAAAATCTATGCTTCACCAAGACCCAAATGGTATCTAAACGATTGCATCACAGCTCATTATGTTAATTTATCTCTATGTTTGCATGGATACATATGGATAAACAGGAGTAATCGTGATTTACGAATCAAGGTGGCTGGGTTTTGTAACGCCTTGGACATACGTAAGTCCGAATTCTCCTGTGTTTATGAACACTTTGTACGAACACCAAATCTGTCTTGGTAATAGTCATTTCATATCCAGAGTTATGTGATTCATATCACTGTTTTTTGTATTGTCATGACTTTTATTTTTATGTATAAATGCCCTAACGACTTACAATGAGATCAGAATTTTGAAAGGTAATAGCCCAGTACATCACACAGTTGAAAAACCACATGCGAAATTATTCTGTATGTTAGACATTGTCGTTTTATCAAGTTATCTACATTTGTCAAAGTGTCTAAACGCGTTAACTTCGAAAAAGGCAAAATTTTAAATGTTGATAATTAATGTAATTTGTAGTGATTTGGGTTGTCACTTTGTTAGCATTTTTGAACGAATTTTAATAAACCTTGGTTGGCATATGCACACCCTCTGAGGATTGCCTTGATGTAGCCATTATACCACAAGTTTATATAGGACAGATGGTATGTGCCCAGTAGTGGAATCAAAAATAAGCGTTTCGTCCTATATGGCACTTGACAACCGAATTTACCTGAATTCTAGATATGATGTCTGTCCAGTCAGAAATATTAACAGAGGGATAACCCAAACCATAACAAATTCAAACAAATTCATTCCCGTTTCCCAAGTGAGTGACTAACTAGAATCTGAAGTTAAGTAAACAACGAGTCAAATGTTTGAAACCAATCCTAAATGGGAAATCAACATTAGGATGCAGATATATCCAACTGACGAGTCCCAAGTAGGACGAAATGCGTTTCATAGTTTGTATTACTGAACACATTCCACTTATTCTTTAATAATGAATAATTATTAACTTTTCAGTTGATGAAGATAAATTCAAATCTCAACAATAGACATGTCTAATCATGCTTTATTCCCTATAAATAAGTCATCTATTAGATAAGTCAAATTAGGATTCTGCAAATCTCCACGCTTGTGTGCTCTATTCATCGATATTATGCGATTATCGATCCATTATAAGTATGTGTTACTTATAAATTACACTTTACATACTTTCACGTAATTATCTTTATAACACTTAGAAAGCACGGCAAATGTTTTTTTTATAAAAGACACTTAACTACAGCTTCCTCTCAAAAATTTCATGATTAATTTCTTTCGGTTTTAGATTTAGATATATGCGACTATGACATAAATTTCAAAATAAATTAATTTGATCAAAAATTAAAATACAAAAGTAATAGCTGAAATTAAGAGAGCATCCAACAATGAACTCTTTTTATCTTTGGCTTAGTAATTCAAGTAACTAACCTCCAGACAACTGATCTTTATCTATTTCAACTAAAGATAACCTAATAGGGTTTCAAGTTTTCCAATAAAAGTGTAACTGAAAGATGAGTTGAAGGGAGTTTGTACTTCTTGAATGAATTATCATGATAATAATGATAATTCTGAAATAATTCCTTGGAATCTTGAAGCTATATATATAACTACAGACTGTTAAAAGAATATTTCTCGTTTAAACATATAGTTTGATAACAAATTTTTGTAATGACGATTATTAACTGAATTGGAGAGTTTTATATTCCATGTTTGTCCAATTCAGACACAGATATAGACACACTGACTATGTTCTTGACTAACCAGCTACACCAATTAGAAGAATTAGAGTGACTAGGAATCTGTAATTGACAGACTGAATAAAGTGATTGCAAGTCATAGGTACATAAACATCTATCCTTCTGACTTATACAATGACATATGAACTTAACCAAGTGACATCCTCCAACAGCCTGCCTTGTTGACAATCTCTCACGCACCGTTTGATTTTGAAGCAGAATATGAATACAGGCACTTATTATGTCTGGTCTCACCCAGCCTGTCAAATAGTAAACCACAACAAAACGTCTACTAACAGTGGTATTTTGCTTACACACTAAAGCTAGTGTGGATTTGGTACATATGTTCAAATTTGCTTAGAAAAGTCTCATTGTTTCCTAATTCCTGTTTTTCTTATTTGTTTGAATAAATTAACTAGTCTTTAGATGAGGAAAAATTAAAGTTCGATTCAGCTGATCAGGATAAAACTGGTTACTTAAATGAAACAGAATTTGTTGCATTTGAACATCCTCATAATTATCGTCATATGGCACCGTATGAATTAAAACATACTTTAAGGGATTTCGATAAAGATAAAGACGGATTTATTAATGAACTGGAATACTTAGCCGATGGTAAGTAGCATACAAATGAGCAATAATAATAATAATAATAATAATAATAATAATAATAATAATAATAATAATGATTCTACGAACATTATTGAGCAGATAAGCATTTTATCAAATGTTATTCAGTCTGTAAAACACTTTTTATCACAGACTAAAATCTTGTAAACTAACAAAAAATAGAAGGCGTTGTACAGCTGTTCCATTTTAGTTCGAGACACTTCCACAGCATGGTTTCGAAATTCATGCAATGAATCCAACTCAAAGGATTTTGATATTATAGCGAGCACAACACTACTTAATTACTGGCTACAAATAGAACAGTCCACACTTTTAAATCAACTGGGATTATACTGTACTTCTTATGAAATCCCATTAGTGAATATATGCCTTATTATTGATTAAGTTAAATCCACATGTCTTGAATTCAATAGTCAATGGTAACTATAGTTATTATGTAAACAATTGGTTTGTTGAAAATCATGAATTTTCTAGGTTCAACCTCATGTGAGGTTATGTGAGCACTACAGTAGTGTCCCAAACTAGGAGAGTACTGCTGATCATCCCCTATGGGTTGTATTGGTTTCATAAATGATTTCTGTTCAAGATTAAAACGACCTTAAAGCAAAACAAATAGTCACAAATCACACTAATATATGTGTCCTTAATTGTTTTTTTTAATTGATCTGTTATTAGTGGAATTCACATCCGTAACGTAGTTTATTGGATAACTTTATTTACTATGTTCATCACATAGGATTATACTTCACAATATTTACAGTTACTGTTTCATTGATACGCATGTTAAATACCATAGTGTATCACTCACTGTTGTTATTGTCATTGGCAAATGTTTAAGTCCTGAAAGTACTGATGAGCTTTATTTAAGCGTTATCCTAAAAAGTTTGGGAGCGATAGATTTTTTCCTTATATAAACAACTTTGCGATAAACATAAGAGTAATATCAGCACTAAGTGATCAATGCCATGTTTTCTACTTCCTAGTACGAACGAAATTCGTTTCTTCTTTATTTACCAAAAAAGGAACTGACAAATTCTTTGATGAAATGTCAGCATCATAGTAATTATGTAAGCATATATATCAGTTGATCGTCTCAGACGTCACTGTTATTTCGTTTCCACACCAAACATTATTTGTTTTCATCCTCTTCTCTTCGATCTTCTTAACCTTCTACCTCCAGGTATTTCACATTCGATTGATGATACAAACTATTTATATCTGGTGACATCAGTAGCACACACCATACTCTTACCAAGGTTAATGATATCACCTGACTGCCAAAAAGAAAATAATTAGAGTGGAAATTCCAATGCATTAACTCCAAACCTACTGATAATTAATAGAGAAGCAAATTTTAATGTATATAAACCACCTAATTATACATTTTTCTAACTGTTATCACTATATTTTTTAGATAAAATGAATAAAGATGCACTCATCATAGAAAGAGAGAATTTTAAAAACTACGACATTAATAGTGATGGAAAACTAGATCCAAGTGAAATGGCATTATGGGTTACACCGGGTGAGTTATAGTGTTTTAATTATGGTCATTAGTACACTGTAACCCTCCTGACTTTACTCCCGGACCCACGCTCGGATAACGGAGGAGTGTTGGGCATGAGATCAGCAACATTATCCCGAAGAAAACGACCTTACTAAAAAAGGGCTAAGCAAAAAAACGACTTAAACTACCTAAACTCTGCCCTGAAAGTTGAAGGATCTTCATTAAGAAGAATTATAACGACTCATGGTGATAGCCAAGATTCTTCAGAAAACATGAAATCGATGCCCCTTCTGACAGAGAGAGCAACAATTCACATAGGTACATGGAATGTTCGGAAAATGTGCGATTAGGAGGACCAGTCAAATAGTTGCCGAAATGGAAAGATATAACTTGATGGTACTCACAACAAGTGAAACCCATTGGACCTAAGCTGGACAGTCATCGTTGTATTCTGTTCCCGAGGATGAACATGCTTCTCAAACACAAGGAGTTGGATTGATGCTATTCAAATAAGCACGAGAAGCACTTATGGGATGAGAATCTCATGGACTCAGGGTCATCAAAGCATTCTTCTAAACGAAGAAGGAGGGGATCACAATGAATTTTTCTATTGCCATACACCCACCAATAAAAGCAACGAATTAAACAGAAATCAGTTTTATGAGAGGCTGCAGTCGATCATAGAGAAGTGTCCATGAATGCACCTGAACATCCTGATGGAAGATTTAAACGCCAAAGTTGGAATGGACAACACCGCCTGTGAACATATCATGGGACGAAATAGACTGGGAGAAAGCAACAAGAATGATGGCAGATTTGCAGATTTATGTGCATTCAACAAAATACGAACAATATACATCACAAACGCGTGCACACAGCTACATGGTTCTTAACAGATTACATTACATAGAAGCAGGTCGAACAGATCTGGATCATTAAAAAATTAAGATCAACGAAAGACATGAGAATAAAGAGAGCAAAACTCATAGCTTCAGATCACCACCAGGTCGTCGCCAGGATGAAACTGAAGATAAAGAAGCACTGCACAACGGGAGAAATAGCATTGGAGAGGTTTAATACGGTCTGCCCTCGAGATATTGACAAACTCAACGAATTCAAGATAGCTGTCAACAATAGGTTCCATGCCTTACGAGATCAACTCATAAAGGAAGAAACTATTATGGAGGATAACTGGGAAGGGATCAAAGAAGCGCTAACTCCAACGTATCAGCAGGTGTTGGACCTCAAGAAGCATCGTCACAAAGAATATATCTCTATGGAAATGCCGAACAGCATTGAGGAAAGAAAGAATAAGAAGACAGCAATCAACAACAGTCGAACAAGAACAGAGAAAATCAAGACACAAGCTGAATACACAGAAGTAAACAAGAGATTGAAATGGATCATTAGAGCCGACAAGCAGAAGTAGCTGAGGAAATCGTCAACATCATACGGAATTCATGCGATAGACTACACTTCAAAGTCGTGTATGGAGGACAGATGACAGATGTATTTCAAGCGAGAACCGGTGTCAGACAGTACTGCTTACTCTTTCTCTCTCTATTTCTCTTTCTTCTGGTGTTTGACTGGATTATGAAGACCTTGATATATGAGGGAATGCACGTAATAAAATTGACAGATTGGATACGGTTCAGCGATTTGAACTTCGCATATGACCTAGCTCTTCTTTTCTATATACACCAACAAATTCAGGTAAAGACAATTGGTGTTTATCTTCCAATATCCTGTCCCTCCATAAACGCAGCACGTACCATTCCTTTTATGATTTACTCGTAATGCCACAATCTCACGCCTCAGCTCCTCAATCTTCTTCTCGACACTGTTTATCTCCTGACCTCGGCACCCGACCGGAGACTACTGTTCGGGTCACCTTCGCCAGTTCATTGATATCCATAGGTTTTACGGCGTTTACTAGTTCCAGCTGCTGAGAAACGGTTACAGACACACTCACGATAAAGTTCGATGCAAATAACTCTTCATCCAGACTCTGAAGCGCGTGGCGCAACAACCTGGTAAGCTCCACAGCCAGCACAAGTGGGTCAACACCAACCGGAAACTTCACCAGCCGGGACTTCTGCAGTGCTTCTTCCTCGTACACTGGGCTGTCGAACTCCACGACTGCCTCTAGTGTCGTCTTCCCACCAGCACTATTCAAGCTGTCATGTACAGCTTTCGCCCTGCCTTTCAGCTGCGTCCTCAGCACCACCATCTTCGCCTTAGGCTCCTTCACTTCCACCAGCTCCTGCACGGCCTCGAACTCCTTCGGGAAGCCCAGTGCATCTCCATCCTCAAATTCGTTCGGCCATAAGATCTTCATTGTTAGTGGAGGCAGCGACATCAAATGTAGTGAAGGAGGACACAGGTGAGGACAACCGATTGTATTCAGCACAAAAATTACAGTTACTTGATAAAATAGAAAAACCATACTCTAATACTTCATTAGCAAAATGTTCATTAATTGTCTCAAACTTCATCGTCCCTGCATTTCCATACCAATCGCTTTCTGTCCTCGTTCTTCCCTTCTTGATCTTCTCAATCTTCTGCTGCCAGACACTCTATTCCTGACTCGATTTATATACTACTCATGTCGATATAAGTAGCACACACCACAGGGTCACTGAAGTATCTAAAGATTTTACTGGAAACAAATCAGACTCATTCAATAAAAACTATCAATATGATATATTCATTTATTATTATAACTCTTAAAATGAAATTAGGATGCAAATCACTTACTGGATCTTCAACTGTGCAAGAGTGACATAAAGTATCTTCAGATATCCGTTTATCATAAATCAACAAAAAATGTATGACTGATTTCTTCTTTCATTTATTGAATTTGTCACAAGTATACAATAAATGGTATATGAAACCTTGACCATAAGTGACAACTACATTCCCTTTCTTACCAAAAGTGATGCTTAGGAAATTATGGCACATCTGTCGTCATCACATTTTGTGCTGTTAAAGAGATTCTACCTATTTACAATACAATTATTGATGAAAAGTCTTGTAACACTTCAGCTTTTATTTGTAACCTATTTATAACTTATCAAAGAGTAGATGACAAGTTCCTACTTCCAGTATATGAGGTATTTACTTTTGTAAAGTCCACTTTGCATTTGGTCCCATGGAAACATCCAAAATAACATTGTTTAGTATGTACTTTTAGCGAAGAATATCGGTTACTTGAAGCTATATTCTTAATTATCTACTTTGCTTAACCATTTATCATCTAGAAAACTTTATTTCTATATAATTTACAAAGTAGCACTTAGGTGTTCTAATGAATTCTCTTCATAATATACTTACCAAGATGCCAACAAGATTTGAAATAAAAATTTTGAACTCAGAGTCTTTTGTCCATTTCCTATCGCTAATATTGTACTACTCTAACTAATTTCTTCTCAAATTCTGCAGCAATTATGTTAAAAAGAATAACTTCTGGTCGTTCACTTACACATTTCACTATAACGTAATTCATTTCTTGAGTTGTAATTTTTTACAAAAGAAGTAGTACTTGGTGAAATATTAGTTTAACTCTCATCCATACATATAGCCTGGTAATTGCCGACTACACACGGAAATGATGCTACATTTTAGTGAATCGCATCGGTTTAAACTCAACTAAATCTTAAACGCAAACTTTATGGGATTGCATAATCATGGTTAATCCCTGTTCATATGTCCTCACGGAAATAATGCTTTAACAAAAAAATTTTCATACATATATGAGATTTTACAGATCGATCATAACTTCGTTGAAGAGATCCCTTTTATGGGATTTGTTGCACAAACTTACTACTTAAGCATAAAAAGTAGTATGATTAAAATAAAACAATTTTGTGCAAAATTTAATTGGTAGTTTTAAGTAAATGAAGAGTGGATAGGGGTAAAACAAGGATGAAATATCTGTCTAATGGCCACTGGCTTTTATTAGTTGTCCAGATGAAGTCAGTTCACAACAAAAGCCAACCATAGGTTATTGCATATTTTTAAATTCTTAATGTAAATTTAAAGCTTTTAGCTGTTTCTGAATAAATCTTTTTCAAAGGTTTTGACAAAACAGCCGCCGATGAAACTGAACATTTATTCAATGAAACTGACAAAGACAAAGATGGTTTATTAACAAAAGAAGAAGTACTTGATCAACATGATTTATGGGTTGGAAGTCAAGCGACTGATTATGGAAGGCATTTAGAGAACTTACCAAAAGATGAACTGTAGTCAAAGTGGCTGAGTCACTAATAATTTAAACTGAATATATACTGATCAGTATACTTATTTACATTTGACCGAATCTGCTTCATAAAATGACTTTATTGTAATTTTTAAAAAAAATCTTAGTTGAATTTTAATTCTAATATATACCTGGTAATATGCATAACATTCCCATTTGTTTCTTGAATTTTAATTGGAACAACATTAATTTTCCATATCGGAGGCGTTTACACATTACTTCTGCCAGGTTTCGATCTCTTTAGGTGTAAATAGCTACTCGTTCACGTGGAATTTTCCCTTGATCTACTGGATATACTCATGGATATCAAGTGAGATAAACATATGAACTACTATGTTATTATTCACATTATTTATCTTCTCGGACTACAAGATGCTAGGTCTATGGTGGATAATATGTTCCTGAATCATGAAAGTTCTGGTTTGAGGAAAAAGTAGTACATTTAACTAATATGAAATCTTGATAGTTGTTTAGACTTATAAAGTCAAATGACAGTTATTTAAGTCAGCAAGAAAAAAAGAACATGGAACTCCTAGCATCACTGGAGATAAAATAAGACATTTGTGTTTTCCAATTTCTCGTATTGGTTACATAACAACTGTCTCAATTATTTTACTCCGAGTTAAACTAAATTCATTACTGCACAATTTTTTTTACCTAGATTGTCATTAAATCGGTGTTGGAGCATTAAGCTCTAAGACAAGTATCATGTACATGTCAGATATTTCATGAGTATAATTCTTACATAATCTAGATTAATATCACTTTCATATTTGAAACATCAAAAACCAGTTCCTGCAATTTGACATAGCATTTCGACACTTCTTTTTTACATGTCATGCCAAGTGGGCATAATCACCCATGCATTAAAATTGTAGACTGTGTTCTAGCTACAGGACAACAAAAGTAGGTTAACTAGATTACCAGTATCACGTGTTTTATTGTTCTAGCATTAGCAATTCTCATATGTAAACTATGTCCAATCATTTGAACTGATATTCGATTGGTTACTTAACTTAATGTGCTATTGCATATACAAATACAAAGACGTACCATCCTTATGATAGGCCAATTTATTTTGGCACGTGATGTAATAAATTCAAACAGTCATATAGCTGATCAGCGCGCAAAAATATTTATCGTTGATTCGACCAAACGAATAAACTCTGTATGGAAAACGTATTACATTTACCTCGTATTTTTTATATCTAACTTCATAAGATTGACTAGAAATTAACTACCTTCGGCTGTGGTACTTCCAGTAAGGAAATTATCTGTCAGACACAATAAACTTAAGGCAATACAAAAAGAACCATCAAAGGCTGATAAACGGCCAACGCAAACAATACAATTGCCCCATAGTTTCTTTGAAGTCAAACTACAGAGAATCAGAAAAATAAGGCTAAATCTCATCACTAACGTTATTTGTAGTGGGAGGTTAAGACAATCAATTAACTAGTTCTAGGGCAAATTAAATACAATAAAGTAGCTGATGCCATTAGCCTTTTTTAAATCCACAACTTACCTTATGAACACTGAGACTAAGTTCTAATACTCAGTCATAGACTTATCAAATGCGCTCTGTTCTGGTTCGCATCAAAGATCAAAATTTACTGAGTGGACTAATTAGGCATTATGTGTGTATAATTTTATGTGGATTTTTGTGGACTAATTTTTTTACACTTGCGTTGTTGTACATTAGGAATGCGCGTTTCTTTGAAGAAGAGTATGGTTCATAGAAAATTGATCTTCAAAGTTAAATGAATGGGCTTAAAAATATAGGCCACTCAATTTCTAATCAGCGTCATAACTGTTTCATGCATATTGAAATAACTATGGAGTGTAGTTTTCATTTGCACCAGTGAAACGTATTAAACTAGGATAAAACAATTTTCTGGTACTTTTTAGCTAATAGATTACTTTTGCCTTCATTAAATACAACTTTGCCCATATAATTGTTCAGTTAAGAAAAAAGATCTAAGATAATATATATATTTGTTATTGGTGTTGTTATTGTTAAGAGATAGGTATTCGATATGTATAAATTAACACGACAAGCTTCTTGATTAAACCACTCGTCTGAGAAAACGATACCCCACCCAAATAGTCCACCTGACTGTCGTGTCTTTATGACCCACTAGTTATCATGTAATTTATTCGCTAATCAAAACACGACTTATCCGCTCTAGTACTGTACTAAACCAATGACGTTCGTCCGGTCTGACCAGCCTAGCTTCCTCATTCGTCCGTTGCTCGCCTAGCCCGTCCAGTTGAGTCCAGAATGCCAATAACAGCTTTCACTATGAGAGCCATTTATTTCAGACATACTGGGTTTATATATCAACCAAACAGACCGCAACGCACCATAAAATAGGAAATAACATTGATACACAATAAAACCGAAAAGTGGCTATGAACGTGGGAGACGGTAATCAAATAACTGAGTATAACTTAAGTACAGTAAATCGTATAATAATAATCTATAAATCAAAATGAAGCTTATAATAAGATGAATATAAATATACACAATCTAATTACTGAATAGTTATACCATAAGAATATATAGACAATATTAGTCCATTATTAGGTCTCAGAGGTTACTCGTAATTTAATTTTCGCTAGCATATAACACTGACACATAAATCTTCTCCACCGTCTGAATAAACTAGGAATTCTCACAATTACAAAACATAAGTAAACTATGTGATTTCTATGGGTATAAGTTTAAACCAGATTTTCTTGCTTTGAATTCTTATCAATGATATTAAAATACATTTTAATTTTATTCCTTTGAATTTTTATCTTTACTTTTGAATGTATGTGCGCGTGCATCGTACTACAACGGATTTTAGATCGCTAGTAAAATCTCGACTTTTTACCAATGAAACTGAGTGAATTGGACTTTTGTTATTTTGTGTAAATTAACCGGTCTGACGATATCAAATGTGTTTAAAAAATTTTTTGACTTTACAGCACATTGTCTCACGATTGCACACATTATTAGCAACATTCATATTGTAATTATGCAAACTACGCGCTTAAGTTGTATTGTAGTGTAGGGTATATCTATGCCACAGGGTATTAGTAAACATCCAACCAGTCTATCTAGTCCAAAATTCAGACCACTGGCCTAGATAGCAGGTATTTCGCCGCACATGCAGTATATATATACACGTGAACGCAAACACAACTGGAATTTGAATTACCAATCAAATTTGTTGACATTCTATTCATCCTTTTTATGATCTCATATGTATGGGTTTGTATAAATATTAATCAGACTTGGAGATAATTTTAGAGGAGATTAATAAGAGAGATTTTTTGGATCTAATAATTAGTACGCCTAGTAAATCACACATATACATCCACCATCGTCATCATCATCATCATCGTCATTATTGTTATTATTATTATTACAAAACTAGTTTAATCGTCACTTATGGGCGGGAGAGAAAACCAATAGACCATTTTCGTCATATAACTAATACATATATACATATATACAAAAGACCAGATCAGTTTGGAATCCATAGTAGAAATATATCCAATGCAAAAATAATCAAGCTAACACCGTAAAAATTGCAAGGGAAAAGTCTTGAGGTTTGGGCAGCCCAGATGGTCTGGAAAAAATACAGATGTAGAAGTGTTGTTATAAAATAATGACATAACTTTTCAAGGTGAGTTTTGGTATTCTTTACTGTTGTAGACTGCTCAATGCAATAAATCATGCACTAGTTTGAAGAGTTTAAAAACATTTTATGCACACTGTTATCATGTTATCATGTGACATGTCAACCTAATTCTATTCAACCATTCAGCCATTGTTTCACTCTATTATCTTATGACCGTCCACTAGTACTGAATTACCTTATTTAATAATCAGAATTAAATTATCAAGATGAGTTTAACTTCTTAACACAATGATGTATTGTTTTCAATACCTTATAGTTTTAACTATTATGTTAGGATCTTTCTCTTTAGCAAATTCTCCATAGAAAACAAGTTTGAATGCAGCAAACGACAATGGTGAGATGGAAACTGTGAAATTATATTAAAACCGACTTTAAAGAAGACAGATAATCAATGCATTAATACTAGTTTATTTGATTTTGAACCATCCTACCTCTTGTCTTCAATCACAAATCTTGACTACTTTAAGGACCTCAAGCGAAAATTCTATAAATCCTGACATAGCTAGTGGGGTGATCTCGTGCTCTTGGAACCTTGAGGTTTTTCCTAGCTGACTATTATACTAACCAGTATGGTAAACCAAGGTAGATGGCAGCTGGGTATACGTAGTACATGTTTCAAGCACCACAGTAGATAAAGTTCCCAGCATCGTCAATTGTAGCACCATCGCTACCTAGTAACTGATGCTCTTCCACAACATTATGCACTGGGTATTCCAAGCTTAACTGAGGATCACTTAGAAGAGTATCAATCTATAGACATCTTCATACTTTAAAGACCATGCTGCATTGCCGTAAAGTAATACAGAGTGAACCTTGCCAAAAGGGAAATACTAGGTGCGTATGTTTAGATTATTGGTAATGAAACTAGAGCTAATAATTGATCACACAAAAATACACAATTTCTCTCTATAGTTGTATGAGTTTTGTTAAGCTGGATGGGGTAAAGTTTTTTTCAGAACATAAACTCCAAGACCATCATCGTCATACTAACAAATTTTGCTGTGCATTTTGATAAAAAATGTCTAACCAGTTGTACAGTATTCAGATCAATTTCAAAGCTCATTTTTATGTTAATGAGTCAGGCGAATGAAATCGAGAGTCTAATATATGTGATAAATAAGTCGAGTGTGTAATGTTGACTTTATTTAAAATTTGTCCTTTTTTGAGTACGTACAACAATCGATCGGAAGTCCCAGTTTGAATTAGTACAATATAAACTAAGAGTAAAGTGAAATTTGGAAATTCCTTTAACTGATACTGAAACTTTCGACTTGCGGTAACAATATCAGCTATAG